GGTAATAGATACAATTTATCCAAAAAATCAAACGACAGAGAATTAGATAGAAAATTAGCCAAAAACGTTAATTGGCCCTAGTTGAAGTGAGGACCAAAGGGAAATTGGGGCACGATTTTCGAGCGGGTATCCGGCAAATTCCGAACGATGTTCCGCTATGCACCAAATTCCGCTCAAAAACCAGGCCCCTTTTTTAAGGAAATTTGAAATCATGGAGTAGTAGAAGAACAAGCTTTTCAGGACGGATATCACATTGCGTCGGTAGTGGGGGAGGGGAAGGAGGCGGCTAAGCCAAGCTTAAACCTAAGCCTAAGCCTAAGCCTCGTTCCAAGGGCTGCTGGAGAGGATCATCATAGTGGGGTGGGTACGCTTCTTGGGGAACGGTAGTACGCTAGTATACGGTATCAAAAATAAGGCGCAAGCGGCTGGGGGCATAAAATTCAGAAATTTTTAAAGCTACTTGAAAAGTGGAATTTTTGAATTCGGGCAGTTGATTTGGATAGTTTAGACGTTAAAAGGGGCGTGTCCAAAATGCTGGCACGCTCCCTTTATAAAGATATGGGCGACCCATACGGACTAGGTGGATAGCAGGGGGCGACTACGGGCCACAACAAATTGCACTTGGGGGAATTTCGAATGGGGATTTCGGAATTTTGAATGGGTAGCAAAGCAGGGAGAGATAGAAGAGGGTACAGAGAAAAAGAAGGTGACTTTTAGAATCCGGTGGCTTGGAGCTGGGTGAGGAACTGTTGAAGCTGCTGGGGGCCGATGCAGGAATCTTCAAACGAGGCTGCCGCGGCGACTACCTGCAAAAATTGGTCTAAAAAGAGGCCAGCGCAATTTGCTGGAGCAAAGCGTCGCGTGTTCTATCCTAGCCCGACGCGAAGCACCGCGACGCGTCCGTTACGCTCCGAGGAGAGCGACATTTACAGCAGAATTCACCTATCCAAAACGGCGGGTGCATCGCGGGTAAGAATATTCTAGCGAAAGGCGCAACGGTCGCGTCGCTTAATCTATACCAGCCGCGACGCGTCCGCAACGCCGAAACCCGTGACGCATCCGCAACGCCGAAAGTCATGGCGCATCCGCAACGCAGAAAGCCGCGCCGCGTCCGAAACGCGTCCTCTACGTTTTAAAGGGGAAGAAGAAGCTTCTACTAACGCGTAGAGAGCACCCGCGTACGGCAAAATGCTTAGCGAATACGTCGCGGTTAAAATTGACGCGACGCGCCCGCAATGCGGGCAATTGCAGCAGATTCAGGAATGATCAGGAAAATCCTAGCGGGAGCGTCAAGTGCAGGTTCTGTCGCGGCGCGGGCGCTTCGGCTTTGCCCATCACTTCAAAAACGACACGACCAGCTAGCTAGATAAAAGCGTCGCTTGCGCGGTGCGGACGCGCTAGGATGACCTTGCAGTGTCATGGCTGATACACGCTACGCGCCTGCAACGCAGGAACGCCTGTACCCAATTTTCAAGGACCTATCCAGCCAAAAAATAAACAATTCGCGCTCACCTGTGCCCCGAGGAACGCCGCGTGATACCGCCACGGTGAGATGTGCACCTGGGCGTTGATTGTGTTCGGCAGCACCGTCTCCAGTTCGGTCTCCACCTTCTCCGCCAACCCGGGCAACAGGGAGGCGCCACCGGCCAGGTAGATGTTCCTGTGAAAAAGATTGAGATTACCGTGGTTTTGGTTCCGTACTTGTACAAGTTACGGCGGCTGTCGATAAGGTGATTGGGTGACGGCGTCGTGGATGGGTGGTGGATGCCCTTCGACTCGAGCTGCCACTTTTGGGGCAGAACAGACCCTCGGTGCATGTGAAGCGAGAGCTGTCGATCTGGAAATCGGTTGTGAAGTTTATCTCTGTCTCTCCTCGCTCTCTCTCGCTCTCGCTCTCTTTACCTCTTTCTGTTTCTCTCCTCTACTCAAATTCCCTCAGCATACTCGACGTTGGCTTGAACGGCGTCAGCGAGTACTCTTCTTCTCCCCGCTCTCCGTCTCGTAATTCTCAAAGCACGTACGCTGACTAAACATAAACTTCTCTGAAGCCAAGATGCACTTACATGCTCCATCAAGTATCACTTGAATCAACCACTCGCACAGGGTCTGGAACGAAGGGCTGAAATTCGAGAATCCGAGGTTGTTTTTTGGGACCAACGTTGTTGTGCAGGGGCCTTGACGTCCTCCCCGAGTCTCGTTTTGTTGGGCTGCCCATTGGGGATCAAGGCGACAGCTGGTCGTTTATGTGGCCGTCGATGACGGGCTTTGATGTTCAGGCGGTCCGCCAATAATGACATTCCTCCTGTAGATTACGTCGTAGAGGCGTAGAGGATTAAGGAGGATTGGCGGGTGATCCCGGCGGCCTGGAAATGAAGGCATAGGAATGAAGGCAATTTCTCTCTCTCTCCCCCTCTCTCGCTCTCTCGCTCCTTACCTTGAAGTGGAACTGTTGTGACCATACATGCAGAAGATCTCAATCACCGACGTCCGGGATGTTCTGGGGGAGTGAGAGAAGGACGTGGTGCTCCCGTGGATCAACACCAAGAGATCACTAGATTGCCCGCTCGTGCACGCCTTTGTCACTTCTTTGTCCATCGAGTACCTGAAAATCGAGCGGTAGCTAGCAGAGACCATTGGGGAGAGCTATCAGAGAGGTTTGATAAACTCCTACCTTTCCACCGACGGATCGCACTGAATAGGTCGCACCAGCTCGCCACGTTCTCGATTCTGAAATGTAGTTTTAGTTAGAGCTCGGATTAGATTCCATCAAGCTCAAGCAGTACACCCTGTCACGAACCTCCAGCTCATAAGGATTTCCGACAACGATCTGGCCGATTGTCAAGTATACATCAATCGCCGGGAAGAAGACCTGTGGGAGGAGGGGCTCTGATACAAGTACACCGGCTCGGATCGGCGTCGAGGCCCAGCTCCGAGGATGACATCCTCGTGATAATCGTAGATGATCTTGTCAATATGGCCTAGTCGATACCTTAGAGATATGGGGCAACGCCCGCCTGACCGGCGTCACGAACTGGTCGAGGTTCGAGGCTGCGGCGTGGGAGAGCAGCGCCTGGCGCCACTTGTCGAACGTCTCGGCCGTGTCGCACTTTTTGATTCTAGAACGTAGATGGTAAACAGATCCAGGTAAGTTGGCTAAAGGAGCGCTGCGTATTGAGGAAGACTACATAAGGCTCCTCTGAACACGCATATGACGTGCGCACAGAGGCCTTCCAAATATTACTCCATATCTCGAGTCAGAAGCGTCCGATTGGAGGGTTTTTTACACCATTCGAAAGCTAGCGCATAGGCGAGCGTTTCTGTATACAAAATTTAATACGTTTGTTCAAACGCTTGGTTTTATAAAGCGTGAAAAAAATGCGAATTTTTGGGATAATTTGCTCTAATTAGCAATCCCACAATTTTTTTAATTCAATGCGTAAAACTTAATTTATGAAAATCGCTGGAACTTACAGCTTTTAGAAACTAAAATAACGTTCAAAACGCACAAAAACTCGCCATTTTCGGGCTTTCGAATGTTATAAAAACCATAATTCTGGGCCTTGATACAGAATCTTAAAGCTTCTTCCCAAACTAACCTCAACAAGATCTTAATATGCTCCTTGCCGCCGTGGATGTGCAAAGTTCGCTCCTCTCGGTTCGCCTCTATCTCAACGCCATGCAGGGAGACATCCTGCACCGGAGCCTCGCCCGCGTAGTGAGTCTGATTCGGGAATTTTTTGGAAGTTGGAGGATTGCTTACCACAAATGTCTGCAACCTGCCATCCTTTGTCCTCATGTATTCCTCCTTCCAATTCCGCTCCAGCTCGGCGACGGTGGCTGTTTCATCTGAAGGGACCTCGACGTGACCCTGCATATTCACGAAACGGTCCCGTTTTGTTTCGGCGCGACGCTCGTAGGAGATCTGGAAAAAAAAATGGATTTTTCGGATTAAGAGGGTAGACGGACAGCGAGAGAGAGAGAGAGACGGCAAGAGAGAGAAAGAGGGGACAAAGCGAGAGATAGGGAGAAAGAGCTATAGAGAAAGAGCGGCATCGAGTGATAGTGAGAGAGAGCAAGCGCGATCGATAGAATAAAGAGAGCGATAGAATTAGAGAACGAAAGCCAGAAAAACCAACCTCGTAAAGGGCGTCAAGCATAGCTTTCGGGTCCCAATCTCGCAAAGCTGCCGTCTCGTCGCCATTCCGTTCGGGACTTGGGCGCTCGCCACTGCCCAGACCTGACAAAGAATCACTTGAATTATCTCGCTCTATCTCGCCTTCTCTCTCTCTCTCTCTCTCTCCCTTTCTCTCTCTTTCACTCACCAGAATCGTGATCTGGCATTGTCTTCAGCCGATACTTATGGGAACCAAGCTCTAAATGACTGCCGTCGTACGTCTTCACCGGCCACGACCTTCGCAGCTCACCGTTACGGTCAAAGTAGGTGCCGGTGGGGGATCCCTGGAAAGTACTTAATATGACCTCTTTGCTGGAACTCTTTGTCAGATTCCGTTCCAAGACCTACCGGGGCGTCTTGGTGTGGTGGGCTGTGGCTGGTCCCAACTGAGCGGTACTGCGGTTGGTCCCTGAAGTTTGGATTTCGGTTTCTCGATCTGACTGTCTCTGTCTCTCACTCTCACTCTCTCTCTCACTCTCCAACATACCTCTTTTCTACAAGCTCTTCTGGGGGCGGCGGCGCCGAGTTGGGAGAGTTCGAGTGGGCGCCGGAGCTGGAAAGATTTTTATGAATCTACCAAGCAAAGAATGTGCGTGTAAAATTTTGAGACAGAGATCGAGACAGAGCCAGAGAGAGAGCGAGAGAGAGAGAGGGAGAGATGAGGGTGTATTCAAACCCTGGTGAGCTAGCAAAGATTCTTGGGGAAGCAATTTAAAAAACGAATTTTCCGACTTAAGAAGGTTAGGCTTCAGAAATTAGCTTTTAAGCCAAACGAAAAATTCAAGCTTTCCAAGCCAAACATCGAGTAAGAAGAGATAAACACCCCCTGAAAAATTCGGAGTCGTTTGGTTGCGTGGGGGGAGACAAGAATCGTGTGGTCGTGGGTCCAAGGAGAAGGAAAGAGAAGGAAGAGGAAGGCAGAGAATAAACATTGGTATCGACATTCTTCCGCCCTGAACACGCGTCTCCGGGTTTTAAAGGGATCGTGACATGTGGAGTAGAGAGTAAGACAAGAATTGCATGTCGTGTATGATTGTGGACTAGTTTCTATTTCGCTTAGAATGGCCTAAAAATTTGAAAAACGGGTGGCCAGCTTGTTCGAGGGCAGCGCATTGTTGTGGGGATGGCCTTAAGAGGAAGCGAGAGAGAGAGAGAGAGAGAATCGGATAAAAAAACGCCCGGAAAACGGCTGGCCCTCCCTGCCCGGGGGGCCATTCGAGGGTCGGGCTGCCCTCGACGGGGCGTCGCCACGATGGATGGACCTCCTTTTTTGGAGAGGAAGAGCTGGAGGAGAAGCAGCCGAGAACATCCCCCCTCGGGTTAAAGGGCAGAAAAATGGGTTGGACTAGGGCTTTGGTGGGTTAAAGGGAGGGCCAAACGTAAAGCGAGAAACATTCGACAATACTATTTCTTTCTCTCTCTCTCTCTCTCTCTCTCGCTCTCTCTCTCGCTCTCTCTCTCTCTCTCTCGCTCTACCTCGCCGGAATAATCCGCCAAAAAAACCCGGTGCCCCGGGAACACACGGGTGAATAAACAGAACGCGCATCACAAGTTATGGAAAATTTGGAATGCTAGAGAGAGCGAGGGAGAGAGATAGAGAGAAAGCGAGAGAGAAAGAGCTAGGGAAGCAGAGATCGCCAGAAAAACTGGCACAGCTGCGGGGGCAGTTCGCGGGCTCTGACTCGATGAATCCGTAATCGGGCACTGCGGGGTCGCGGTTTTTTTGGGAGCCCGTAAAGAAGCCAATCGCGGGCAATCGACCGGTTTCGTTGGATTTGAGGGCACAGTTTAGGGTTTGGCGAGGAACGCGGGTCAGCTCGAGGAAAAAATATCGGTATTTTGAAGGGTGTGTGATAAAATCTAAAAGTCACAGCTTCACCTTTAGTTCAGGCAAATTAAAGTTAAACGAGCGAGAAATGCTACAAAATTCAAGATAGAAAATTGGAAAATAGCAAAAAAGCTCGGGTCAAGGCTTCAAAACTCTGTATCTTGACGTTTTTCGACGGCTTAAAAGTATGAAAAAGCAAATATGTGGAGCTCTAACTTAAACCAAAATCGTAGTTTTAGCTAAGGTATTAAAACAAATAGCAAATTGAGGAAAACTTTAGAAAACAGGAAAATCCATAACCTGAAGCTCCTGGCCCGTTAAAGGTACCAAAAAGCTACCAGTTAAAGCTTAACATTAAGCTAAGCTGAAGCGTAAGCCAAAGTAACCCCAAAACGTGCCAAAAACCCGACTAACACCAAAATTAGCCGGTTGGCCCCAAGGCGACCGGGTGGCCGGATGCGCAAAAGGGGGGCAGTAAACAAGTGAGGATGTTTCGGGAGGGTGCGGGGGCGAGAGAGTGAGAGAGTGGAGGAGGGGCTAGAGATAGAGGGTGGGCAGGGACTCACTTCCAGCCATTCCCCCCAACCAACAGACCCATACACTCACACACACAAACGATCGATCCCGCATACCCGCAAAGCCGGCTGGAAGAGGGGGGAAATACGGAATTGGAGCGTTTTTGAAGCGCATTAGGCTTGGGATTAGGCTTGCGTGAGCTGAGGCTTAAACATCTGCTTATTCTTAAGCTTAGGCTTGGGATCAAGCTTAGAAACCGGCTTGGTACGATGCTTAAAAATAAGCGTAGGCTTAGAAATCGTCCTACGCTCAGCCCGAGGCTTAGGCTTAGCTTAAGTCGAGGCTGAGGCTCAACGTCCAGCTTAGCTTAACGTAGGCTTAAGCTCTAGCTCCGCTTAGGTTTAGGCTGAGGCTCAACCTCCAGCTTAGCTTGGGCAGAGAAAATTTGCGAAAAAGATATTTTTTTAGTTGGTGAAATTTGAGTCAGACGGGCGCGGAAAAATTCCAATGAAACGACTGGGGGCGGAATCTCAAATTTCGGCATGTCGTGTCGCCGCGGAATACTACTTCCCCTTATGTAGATCAACATTTGAAAAATTTAAGAGAAAAAGGTTTGTACCGGTAGTTTTCTTCTCTCTCGCTCTCTCTCTCCGCTCTCTCTCGCTCTCTCCCGCTCTCTCTCGCTCTCTCTCCCTCTCTCGCTCTCTCTCTCTCTCTCTCTCATAATTCTATCGGTTTTTAAGGGGACGACCGGAAAGAGACAGGAAAGCTTGCGCTTCGCGTGTCGCGGTTGCCGTAAAAACCTCGAGCGTCCAGATCCAAAAAATCCATAGCCATACCTTGCCGTTGTTTTTAAAGGTACCAGGAAGCCATGAATCGACTGATGCAAATTCCAAAAAATGGTAAAAAGCATCCACTTGAAAAAACAACTTTTAGCAGTCGAAGGCTGACACAGGCATCAGGTTTTGTCCCCACATATCCAGGGATCAATAGCCGGACAAGAGCCAGATTTGCGAGAAGGGTTGTCTACCAGGCCGTGGGCCCCAAATGGGACATTCACTGGGTCCCGGGGGGGGGGGTGGACGGAGGCTTCTATGCCCCCAGAGGGCTGATTCGAAATATGAACCTCGCCCCCATTCGTGGTAATGCGAGTAGCAGAAGGGAGTCGAAAAATGGATTCTAGGCGATGGATTAAAGGGATGGTGACAGGAGGGGGCGGGTTTAAAATGTAAAATTTTCCTGCGATGCCTTTATTACGCATAACTCGACGCGCAGCGGAGCGTTGCGTATCATCGCGTAGCTATGTCCAAAATTGCGATTTTTAGCAGGGATGGCAAAATCGGCCGGCCGGGCCGATCGGCCGAGCCGAAAGCCGACTAATTCGGCCACTTCCGGGCCGATTGCTCTATGCTAATTTTTTCGGCCGAGCCGATCGGCCCGGCCGAATTTTTGGGAAATCGGCCGAGCCGATTCGGCTTGGCCGACTTTATCTAAATTGCATGTAAATTGATGTAAATGAGAAAAACCATAATGGATGGGGGCTAGACATGTATTGTCGCGTGCGCGGTACCAGAATAAAATGTCGACAACTGAGACCCGAGCCTGGGTAACACCGGCCGAAATATCGATTCCAAAATCACGAATTGATAATTCACGATTCGCCGCTTCGGAATTCAAAATGCCGATCAGGTCCAGTAGGCATTCTATTTTCTTAAGCAAAACGATAAAAATAAATTGGAAAAATAGATTCGAGATTTTTTTTTGAGAAATTTTTTGCTTAGTAACTAACATGTCGGCTTTCGGCTCGGCCGATCGGCCGGGCCGACTGAAGGCCGAAAATCGGCCCTGGAATGGCCGATTCCGGAAGTGATCGGCCGAGCCGAATTCTAATAGGCCGATATTCAAATCCAGGCCGAAAAAGCCGATCGGCCCGGCCGATTGCCATGCCTGATTTTTAGTGATCTTTTTTGACTTCCAAGTCCCGTTTACGGTATCATCTACCTACCCGATGCCTGTCATTCCCTCGTATACGGTGTCGTAGATCGGGCTGGCGCCTTGGCCAAGTGTAGCACCAGCTCTTTGTAGATGACCCTGGTCCCCGGCAGGTGTATGGTAGTGTGACGTTGGGGTGTTGGAGCTGAAAACAGTGTTGGAAGCGTTTTCTCACTCTCTCTCCCTCTCTCTCTCTCACTCTCTCTCACTCTCCCTCTCTCTTTCTCACCAAACCCACTCATATAGCCGATGAATAGGCGTCGTCAGATGAACGGATGTCGGAAACGTCGAGTTTTCAGTCAGATACTCCTCCTCGAAGATTTCGCCCCTAAATTTTGCTGCTCAACCGACTTCCTATTTTTCTTACGTGACGTTCCGGCGCTTGACGATGGTGACCACCTTGGTCTTCGTCTCTACCGTCACCTCTTCGGCATTCCTAAAATCGGGGATTTTCAGCAATCTGGGGGAGGTCGAGGAGGTCGGGGAGTGAGAGGCAGCGCATGCAAAGCGGAAGCAAAACTGACTTTAGATGGTGTTCGGTTGCCTCTGCGGCATTACTAAAAGAGTGATTGAATAGACGAAAGAGAGAGAGAGAGAGAGAGAGAGAGAGAGAGAGAGATCGTGTGTTAGAGCAACACCTAAAACCCACGTCAAGTCGATATGCTCCGGAATTCCGGGCGGTCGTTGCTCAGGAGCCAACTGGTAGTGAATCTCATCGTAATGATGCGCTGTAGCGATCGGGAACACGGTCATCTACAAGATTCTTGCCGTCATTGCTCCCTCTCAAACCCACATCTCGGCCATCATGTACCAAATGCCCTCCATACACCGGTATCACCGTCTTCTCAATCTCCTCGTCCTCGTAGTGCTCCAAGTGATACCCGCCATGTTGCTGGAATGGCAAAATTCTGCTTATGAAATCCATCGCTCTACCTTCCCAGTCCCTTCAATGCTACCTACCCGTTGCTGCGTTCTTGTCTCCTCGATTCTCTCCATTCTCTCCGGTCTCTCCAACGGCTCATACACCTGATCGTAGATGTGCTCCTCGGTTCTTGAAATGTCGGCATCACGGTAAGTCGGTGAATGCAGTCTGCCCTCCCGCTTCCTCCTCATCTCCTCTTCATACTTCCTCTCCTGCTCAAGCTGCCAGAGGCGATCATCCTCCTCTCGTCGCTCTACATCTTGGCGTCTCTGCTCCTCCTCCTCTTCCTCGGCCCTTCTCCTCTTCTCACGCTCCTCCGCCCGCCGACGATTCTCTTTTTCGGTCTAAAATTTTGGAGGATAAGATTCGTTCTTCAATGGTCTCTGCTAGCTCTCCTCAATGGTCTCTGACCTCTCCTCGCCTACCTCAATAGCCCTTAGCCGCTCCAACTCCAGCCGTCGCACCTCCTGCTCCTTCTCCTTGATCTCCATCTGCCTCCTCTTCCTCTCCTCCTCCTCTCTGGCCTCTTCCTCCTCCCTCTTCCTCTCTCCTCATCTCTTCGTCTCCGTTCTCTATCCTCTTCCTCCAGCCTCTCCCTCTCCATTTCTCGCTTTCTCCTGACCCTCTCCTCCTCTTCAGCTTCTTCTCTCATTGTCCTCTCTATATCTGCTCTCCTTCTCTCTTCCTCTCTTCGTCTATCCTCCTGTTCTGCTAGGGCTCGATCGGCCTTTCGTTGTTCTGCTTCTTGTTTCGTTAGTTGCTCAGCCGTCTTTCGGTTTTCCTCGATTTTTCGGTAAAGTTCGCGTTGGGTCCTCACAAATTCGGGCTCGGGCTCCTCGGCGGGGAGGATGGGGGGCTGTTTGGGCTTCCGTTTCGTGTCGGAAGGTGGATTTGTGGGAGGGGCCGGGGATACGGACGGGAGATTCGAGGCTTCAAGGAGTACGAAACGGTCTCCGTCACGGGTTTTCGTATGGTAGGGGTCGTAGTGGGGCTGAGGTTTTTCATGGGGATGATCTGCAAAGTAGCTTAAGTTTGGTATCTCTCTCTCTCTCTCTCTCTCTCTCTCTCTCTCGCTCTCTCTCCCTACCTTGAACCTGTTCCCGATGATGATATTGTATATGATGATGTCCGTAGTGTACATATCTTCTATCCTCTCGATTTTCCCCATGACGCCTCCGTCCGTCTTCATGATGATGTTGTATGTAGTGATGTCCATGATGCGGCAGTCCATATGGTACATGAGGTTCATAGGTGTGTTCGTAGTGATGTGGGTACGGTGAGTAGTCGGGCCCATGCGGGTGATGTCCATTTTCCTTGGCAGGCTCATCATAGTGATGCTCCACCGGTTTTTGGTGCTGCACTTCAGGCTTCCCGATTACTTCACCGTGTTCGATCTCCTCGTAGTGATTTTCTAAATTACGGGTAATAATTTTTTCGAATCTCATAGTTTCGAAAAGCCACTTTGGTCCCTTTACTCGTGCTCCCACCTTTTTCGAGGTGGTGCTCCTGGTGTCGAACCTCGTGCTGGTCGCTTTCTGAGGGCTTGGAGTGGAAGTGTTGGCCTGGTTGCGCGCCGCCACCAATTCGAAGCTCTGCCTCGGATCTGGGAAATTTGGTTTTATAAGCTTGAATCAGACTCACCTAGCCAGTGGGCTTGGTGTCGTTTGGGCTCGTGGGCTTGGTGAGCGTAGGGTGTAGAATCTAAAAAAAAAATAGGTGGTGGAGCGAGTGCGAGAGAAAGAGAGAGAGAGAGAGAGAGAGAGAGAGAGAGAGAGCGAAAGGAACTCAATACCTCTGCTGAGCATCAGCCGTCAACGGGCTCAAATCAACGGGCCGAGGCCTTGGACTCTGAATCCGAGGAAGCGGCGAGGTGACCTCCTTCCTGACGACCCTCGGCGTGTCCTGATGTGTCCTGGCCGGTTGCTTAATCGGTGTCGATGGCGTTGTCGTATCCAATAGGGATGAGGTCGAGCTGGGCCTCCCCTTCGGAACCTCACTCAGAGGCCCAGGTCTTGTCCTCAGATCATCACCGTGCTCCAGCCTTGCCCTCGGCACCTCGTACACGTTTCCAACGGACTGGGTACGACGCCATGGCGCGGCTTCTGGGGAGCTGGAATGGAGCTGGTCAAGCTGGCTTACAATTAATTCTAAAAAGTCGGAATTTCCGTAATGTTGAAACTGCAAAATGTCGAAATCCACCACGTTAAAACTAATAATGCCAAAATCTCGCTAATTCTCGAAATTTTGAAAACCCGAATTTTGAAATTTCGACGTTTCGAATCGTGGTTTTTATTGGCTTGTCGGTTCTTTTGAAACTCACCAGAACTGCTGGCGTAAATTCTTGACACCCTGGAAGTGGTAGGATTCCTCCGTCGTGGCACGTCGAGGCGCAACAGGGGCTTGGTGAGTGGGTTGTCGATCTACCGGCTGGGGTTCCACCACCTCCTTGGGTTGGGCCACTCGCGGCACCGTGATTTGATGACCTAAATGGATTTATTTCCGCTTTTTCGGTAGATGAACAAGCTTCTAGCAAACCCTCACCTCGTGCAATATTCGTTGGCACCTGCTTGACCCCGACACGCTCATGCTCCCAGGCTTCTGGCGCTGCTCTCTTGCTCCTCTCCTCTTCCATCTCATCCTCCACGGCGATTCTCTGTATCCCCGGCACCGAAAACGTGAAGCCCTCATTCTTGGTCCACGAAGTCGGCGTCTTCCTCCCCGAGCTCGGGCTCTCCGCCGGTCTTGTAAATGGCGAATTCTTGGGCAGCACATCGGCGGGGAGTTCCTTCGTCTTCTTGGGGACGGGCGGGATTTTGTCCTTGTTGAGCATGCTCTCCCTCCACTTGTTGTTGCGGCTCATCTGGCGGATGGCGTTCGTCGTGTAGATTAGCTCCCAGTCAAGGTGTTCATCTTCGGTGGGTTCGGGGGCTGGTTCGTCTTCGTACTTGTTGCCCTGAAAAGAGGTTGAAATTTAGGTTTATGACCAAGCTAAGCCAAAGTTAAGCGAAAGCTAAGCTAGGCCTAAGCCTGAGCCGAAACGAAGTCCACTAAGCCTACTTACCTTAAACTTTCGCTCAGCACTCGAGTCGTGTCGATGGGCAAACTCCTCGCGAGCCCGGTGCACATCACGAGGAGGTGGGGCCGAGGTGGGGGGAGGGGGAGGGGCTGCAGACGTCTTCTGGGAGGTCGTGGAGTTCTGTTTGGCGGGCACGATTTGATAGTGATCAATCTCCTCGTAGATGTTCTCCTCGCCGAGGTGTGTCTCGACCGTGGAGGTGTAGGTTCCGGAGAGTTGGGAATGGCCGAATACCTAAAAGAGGGGTTTGGCCGGATGAGCTGCAGTCGCCGTCGAGACCTAGTCTACCAAATACGTCGAATCTGGCACCTTTAAAACACCTTTAAAACACATACCTCTCGATGCGACGCCTGTCTCACTGGCTCCTCTCTGGCCACCTCGTCATATTCATGGTTGCGTGGTGCGGGTACCGGCTTGGTGGGTCGTGATGGTTCGGTGTGTACCGTGTAGTTGGTGAGCACCACCGGTTCGGGTTTCCATTTGCGGTTGCGGATCTCTTCGAGAAGCTGAGATCTGCCCTGCTCGGTGGGTTCGGTTTTTGGCTTGAAGATGGGCTTCGGCTTGATGGGGCTGTGGGTTTCTGCGACTTCGGAGTAGATGGGCTCCACCTGGAACATATTCTCTCTCTCTCTCTCTCTCTCTCTCTCTCTCTCTCTCTCTCTCTCTCTCTCCCCTCTCTCTCCCTCGCTCTCTCACCCACCTTCTGTTGCTGCACCCTTTCCACCGTCACTTCATCATATTCAGCATGTTCATCGTGCGTCTCCAGATGACTCTCCTGACGTGCGTACGCAGCCAAGGGATTCGCCGTCGATGTAATGGTCCTAAAATCAAGCCCTTAAGCAGAACAGCGTCAACCTACGCGGTCAACGGCGTCGAGGGCGGAGTCACCGTACTCGGCACAGCTCTATGCGGAGCCCCATCCAAGTTGAAGCTCCTCCTCGACATCACCTCCTGCACAAAATCCGTGGACGAGACGCTGGAAGACGCTTCAAACCTGCGGTGTTGTACATCGACTGCCCTCTCCTTTGGTTGGGCAAGCGATCTCTCGGCCTCTTGCAGTGATTTTCTGAGCTTTTCGGAGAGGTCGTCATCATAGTGGAGTTTCGTCTGCAGCTCGTGCTCCCGGCTTAGCACGGGGCTGAGTACGCGCTCCATTTCGACTGGGCTGAGGACACGCTCACTGATCCTGGGGGTGTCATCGACGGCTCTGTGCTCGATACGAGCATCATCCAACCTCGCCGTCTCCATCATGTAATCAGCAACCTCGTAGTCTGTGGGGGTTCTGCTCCTTGAACTGGCCGAAGTTGTTGTGCCCCTCCAGGTCCACTTCTTCTCTGTGGGCGGGGCATCGGGGGGCGGTGATAATGCCCTTTCGGGAATTGCATATCCGGATTCGTCGAGCTGTGGTTCCGGGGAGATGAGGTGACGTTGTGAAGCGGCAGCGATCTCGGCGTCAGCACCGTAGGCGTTGTAGTGAGCTGACTTTTGTTCACCTACCTTCTTTAGGACAACGTCAGCATAGGGGCTGTACGGCTCGATGGCCTCGGTGGGGATGGGTGGCACTTTAAAGGTTGGTGATTTTGTGGACGGGGAGTAACCTGTGGGGGTGTAGCGGTCATAGGGCTTTGGGCTTGAACTTGTTCGTGTCGCGCCTCGGCCTATTATCGGCAAAGTTCCGGTAGGTGAGGCTCCGAGCCCAACAATGTTTGTTGGAGGGCTGTACTGCTCGAAAACGTGGGGTTTCTCGGGTGTTGCGGACAGAGTGACAGACGCACCATGTCCAACCACAACACCCTCAGAAGCCGCCGAAGCTCCACTCCCACTCCCAATGATGTTCTTCTGCCCGCTGTGCTGCTCGAAGACCTCGGACTTTCCAACTGTTATGGACGCACCATGCCCGATCCCACCTGAAGTCGGTGAAGCGCCAACCCCAATGATGGTCTTCTGAGCGCTGTACTGCTCGAACTCCTCGTCTTTCCGAAATGATACGGACGCACCCTGTCCAGTCCCAAGAACACCCTTCGGAGCCGAATACTGCTCGTACATCTCATCAGAATCCTTATAAGGATCATAATGCTCGTGCTCACGTCTCAGCTCGACTCCGTGAAGATGATCCACCCCCTGGTGGTGCTCAAGGTGGATCTGATCGCTTTGTCGATGAACATGGACGGTGGCCGAGACCTCGGTTTGCAAAATCAATCCGGTCGAACTGCTTGAATGTGTTTCTTCCAGCTCTCTACTGCGATGAAGTTCTACTGGAGGTGGAACGTCAAGGACCAAAGTCTCTTGGAGCCGATTTTCGATATTGTCCGGATCACCGGGATGCGCATCGGCCTGAGAAACGATGTGGATCTCCTGCGTGGACCTGCGACTCCCCCAGACCCAGAGCTCCCGCTACGACCCCGGGTCAGCTTCTTGGCTGTGGACAGAATGGCGGAGCGCACTTTGGAGGTGATCTTGGTCTTCGGTTTTTCGTGGGAGGACGAGGTTTCGGTAGATTGGATTGAGGGCGACTTTGTGGCCTCGTGATGGATTTGGCGGATGTGGCTGACGGGCTGGTCGTGCTGAACGGTGTTTAAGAGGTGAAAAAGCTCGTGCTCACCTCAGTCTGCTCGCCAACAGTGTCCTCTTGTAGTATTGAGGGTACGCGTTGTTCTCTAAAAATCGTGTGTGCTCTGTCTTAAATACGTGACAAGCAACGTGGCACGCAACGCGACACACAACCTGCCACGCGGGATGAATCGCAACGCGACACCGAACGTGACACGCAACGCGACACGACATGCGACAGGTAACGTCGCTCGCAACGCGACGTACAACGCAAGGCGCAGCTTGACACGCAACGTGGCACGCAACGCTACACGCAAGACGACACGCAGCGCACATGCACGCTCTGGCCTGCGCAATGGATTATGACAGTTCAAAAGCACAGAAACACGCTCGCGTTGCGTTTAGCGTCACGGCAAAACCGTCGCTATGGTAAAACTGACCGATAAGCTCCAGAATTAACACGGTCCACCATTTTTCCGACCTCGACTTGCTCCCGAAATTCATGGTAGGCCAGGGAGGGCGGTTGAATTGTGGTTGGACTCTTAAAGGCCGGAAATCTATCTCTCCTCTCTCTCGCTCTCTCTCTCTTTCTCTTTCTCTCTCTCCCTCTCCCTCTCCCTCTCTGAAATACCGCATCTCCAGCAGGTACAGGTGGTGGATCATGAGCTGGGAGTTGACCTAAAAACTCGAGTTTATCGATGTTTTATAATTTAAACCTTAGGAAACTTAAGCTGAGTATGCAATAAAATAAATATGTGATAATATTTGATATTGTATATATGTGTAATAGCTAAATAATCCCTTGCTACCCACCTGACATCTTTGCCTTTCTGATCCTTTGCAAAAGGGTCAGCGGTGGCGGCTCCTTGACGGGGCCAAGCTTCTCCAGGGATTGAGGTCTGTAAAAGTCTCCCTAATTGTTACTTCAAGTCTAATTAATCCAATTTAAACCCGAAGTTTAGAAAATCTAAAACTCAGCAACACCTACCGTTCCGGCTTTTCCGCGACCTTCGGCGTCCTATTTGACGTGAGCGCCTGGCGTTCCTTCTGGAACCTCGCAAGTTTTCGTAGAGCTCAAAAATCTTGCCTCTCGCAGCCGCTTCTGCTCAAAATAGTCGGCGCGAAGGGAGCGTCCACTGGAGCTGGTCGGAAATCTCTGGAAATGGGAGATAGCGAAACACAACGCGGGTGGGAGGGCGTTGCGTTTCGTTGGAGAACGCTGGAGAGCGAGAGATAGAGAGCGGGAGAGAGAGCGCGAGAGCGCGAGTGAGAGAGAGAGCGAGAGAGCTAGTGAGAGAGTCAGCGAGGGAGGTAGAGCGATCCGAGAGAGAAAGCGAGAGAGAGACAGGGAGAGAGAGCGAGTGAGCGAGCGAGAGAGCTGGTGAGAGAGACAGCGAGAGAGGTAGACGGATCGAGAGAAAGCGAGATAGAGACAGGGAGAGAGAGAGCGAGAGAGAGAGAAAGATAGAGAAAGCGAGAGAGAGAGAGCGAGACAGGAAGAGGTACAGAGAGTGAGGGAGCTATCGAAAGCATCCTAAAAACATTTTTTCAAAGGCAAAAAGCATTTTCAAGGCACCGCCCTGGAATCGTAAACAAACATTGATTGCTGGGTGAGGCACTCACTTTGAGGCTGCTCGCCCGTTTCAGATAATAATTTTTACAGCCGCCCACAGCCTTTCCAGTGATAAAGGTCAAGCCGGGTCTTTAACGGGGTGTAGGAAAAGCTAGTAGTGCGCTGTAGCTGCAAAAGCTGGGAATTTTTGGCTGAGTGGCCGGAAATGAAAGCTTGCCCGCGGTGAAGCCGATAAATGCGGGGAGTTAAAAGCAAACAGACTGTGAAAAACAACATTGGATTTGATCCCGAGGAAAAAAGGGCAAGAATAACTTTCAAAAAAAACCTAGTATTGAAAGAGCCCAGCAAGGGAGAGCGAGAGAGCGACAGAGCAAGAGAAAAAGACAGAGAGTGAACAAGGAGCAAGAGAGAAGGGAGCGAGAAAGCCAGAGAGAGAGAGAGAGAGAGAGAGAGAGAGCTATGGATATTGGTATGAGATAGTGAGATAGAGAGAACCCGAGGGCAGGAGAGAGCACGAGACCACGGGAAAGCGAGAGAGCGAAAGAGGACAAGGGATGGCGATAAGGAGGAAGAGCATGAGACAAGACCACGAGAGATAGCGAGAACGAGAGAAAGAGCGAGAGGGAGGGAGAGCGAGAGGGAGAGAGAGCGAGAGAGCGAGAAAGAGAGAGTAAGTCTCTGGCACCCGCGACACGCAACGCGTCCGCCACCTCGAACACCTTAATCAATTACGAAGGAAAAGGCTGGTCACGTGTCGCGACGCCGTAAATCAGTAGGCCAAAACCGCAACCAACAAAATCCGTAGCCACGCTTCCGAGTCCTTTTAAAAATACGCAAATCGATAAGCCAATCAAGGGGAGTGCAGCCTGGGGCCGGGGGGAATGCGGGCAGCAGGCCGAATTCAGAAGATGCTGCCTTATCACCAAAGAATGGGCACACATACACTCAACTCGGCGAAAGCCCAACCCAGATAGCAGCCAGACCCCCCTAATAAAGTCGAGAATTCCCCGGGTAAGCCGCATTAAACGCCGCAGTTTTTATGGAGATTTTGGGGGTGAGTGGAGGTGGGTGGGAATGAGTCAAGAAATCAGAACGAATTACTGGCTATCTAACGTTGTATCGCTGTCTCACTCACTTGCTCACGCTCTTTCTCTTGCTCACGCTCTCTCTATCGATCTCTCTCCCTCACTATCTCTCAAGCTCTTCCTCAATATCTAACACTAGCTCACTCTCACGATATCTCCCTTCCTCGTGCCCTCTCTCGTGTTCTTCTTCGCGCCCTGTTTCTCTCTCTCGCTCTCTCGCTATCTCTCGTGCTTCTCTCGCTCTCTCTCTCTCTCTCTCTCTCTCTCTCTCTTCCTTACCCTATTGAAGTACTTCGCGTTTCTCGTGATCACCAAAGCGTGTATATGACGCTCGACGCTCAGCTGCCGTGCGAGGATCTCGACTTTGAACTAAACATTTAGGCTAAAGTTTCCAATTTCCGAGCAACCCTCCTTACGTTTTGGGCCTCCAGCAAAATGGCCTTCTCCAGTTCGGCGCAACGCTTCTTCGAGTCGGCAGTGGCCTTGTCAAGTTGCCGGGAGACTTCTTCTAGTTTCTACAAAATGGCGAGTTTTAGAGAGCGAGAGAAAGTGAGAGAGAGATGAAGAGAAAGAGAGAGAAAGAGAGAGCGAGAGGGAGCGAGAGAGAAATATTCTTAGATGTTAATAAAGCGCTTACATGTCCCTCGCCTTCGCAGCCCTCCAAATATTCTTCAAGTGCTCGTTCGTTGTCTCCACGTACCAGCGCCCACACATCTGTTGTCATACCTAAAACGGAGGTTTTGGCCGGTGTCCGAACTGCTAGAAGTCTACGTTTTGCTGTGGATTTCAGGGCTATTGGTGCTACGTGACTATGAAAACTTCTAGACGCCTCGAAACCCCCTGAGCTAGTCGTAAAATTCTCTTGCCGAGCTGATCCGTCATTTTCACGAAAAACTTTTGGCAACACGAGGCGAATTTTAACGAAACGATTGGATGCAAAAGCCCTAAATGAGGTAATATTTTTGTAAAATTCTAGAATTACCAAAAACGCGATTAAATGCGACTTTTCAAGGCATAGCCGCTAACTTAATTAGGTTGATGAAAACTGTCCGATCATCCACAAAAAGGTGTAAAAAATTGTGCAAAGTTATAACATCGAATGTTTCGGGCTGAAACATCTACATGGCGGGCGTCATCTGATAACCGTTAGAAAGAGGTGCAAGAGACAGCTACACGCATCAAGACAAACCGATTAGTTTGACTTAACGGCAAAGCCGCTTTCCGGCGTGATTAAATTTGATTAGGGCGTGTTGGGTATAGTGCGCAAAAGAAATAGCTAGATTTGGAAGGGGCGATCTTGACTGTTATTTTTAGAAATAATTAAATTGCAAATAGTTTTTGGAAGGGTATTTTTATAATTTTTAGGGCGACCGAAGTTGCCTGGAAGCGTCACAAAAATACGCCAAAGCTAGTTTTACGGGTGCGACGCGGGATGTTGAAGTCATTTTTTGAATATTCAAGAATTACTCAGAAAATAGAGTAGTGTGCGCTGGTTGGCGGCTGGCTCAGTCTGGGTGAGGTATAGGCTGTACCACATGCATGCCCTAAACCACGCAGAACGGTTGGAAAAAATTTTTTGACGCGTAATATGGAAATAATAATTATTAGACGTACCAGCGCCCAAAACGCGCTTCGCGGGCCTTGGGCGCTGGAATGCGGCCCTTGCATGAGAAACTGACTTTCCGATAGCTTGTTAGACGAATAAGCAAAACGACAATAAGTGAAATGTTAACTCATGACTCGAGGATGGGCGGGAATCGGGTATTAGTAGGAAGGGGGAAGCCGCCAAAATCCCGACATACATAATCCCGACAGCCAAAATACCGACACCCAGAAAGCGACGATTTTAAAACCATTTATGGGTAAAATGGCAGAAAATATCACATTTTGCCTGTCGGGATTTCGGCTGTCGGGATTATGGCTGTCGGGATTTCGGCTGTCGGGATTATGGCTGTCGGGATTTTGGCTGTCGGGATTATGGCTTAAATTCAGGTTCTGCTCATGTAATAACAATTCATGTAATGGCACCGGTTTGTTAGCGGGGGGGGTATAATGTCGTGGATTTTTCAGTATTTCATTATTATTTCGGGCTGCAACGTCGCGCACCGGTAGGGCATCAACAAATATCATACGAATTTTAATTCCAAACCGAAGCAGAATATTTAAGAAATTTATAACAAATCAAAAAAAGCCCGGAAAATGGGGTTGGCCGGCGATTTTTCGGGATTTCTTTATTTTTCGAAATTCTGTTAAGGCTATTGGGGAGCGAATTAAAAATATGCTAAGGGTTTTATACAGCTCAAAATAATGAAATTTAGAGAAGCAAAGCTAGTGACAAAAATTTTTTCAAACTAATTGGCACTCGGATTTCTCATGGTCAAAAGCCATGCAAATTCCCAAGAAAAAACTTCAAAAAGGCCCAGAATAAGGGCGAATCGCAAATAACATCAATGGCACTCTCGAAAAAATTTATAGGGGGCATTTATTCGTCAAAGACGGGAAGGGGGAAGAGATGGGCGAGGACTACGCATCGATACAAGCGCCACTAGATAACGGGCCGTCTTTTTGGCCCGGGTTCTGTTGGAGTGATTTTGAATGGAAGCCGCCATCACTCATCTACAGCCCCGCAGCCAATGAACTGCTCCCGGGGGCTTATTGGATTAGCTAGGGGGTGAGCTGAATTGATTAGCAGGAGTCCGGAAGCTGGAAAATATTACGGTGGCGGTCAGGGGGTCATAGACTTTTGGCAAAACAGGCGAGAGAGACAGAGAGAAAGAGAGAGAGAGAGAGAGAGAGAGAGAGAGAGATAGAGAGGAAGAGAGGGGGAGTGAGAGCAACATATGGAAATGACCAAAGCGTTCGACTGACCTTTAAAACACGTACATTTCCTGCAAGCTAGAAAATACCTCTACCTCATTAAAGGAGCAAGCAACGTATCTTTACATATCTTTAAAACTGATGCATTTTCGAATGCATCAGTTCAAACAAAACGACGCTCGTAATAGCCTCTGGATTGATGGGAAGAAATGCCTGAAATTTTGGGGGGCTATGGCTTCTGCATTAAACTAAAAGAATCCCTAAGAAAGTCGTTTAACTTTGTTTAAGACCTTGTGAGAATTTAGGTCCGATACTGAGAATACCTAAGCGTCTTCGTAATGCAGCAACACCCCCGAAAAATCATTGAACACTAACAAGGGAGAAGGAAGAAATGAGGGTGGTTTTTCATGCTAGGACTGCACCTTCTGACGAATTCTGCGTTGATTTTAATCCGTTTTTAGATTTTCCAAAATCGCGATATTGGGAAACCGCAGTGCATTTTTGAGGCAAAATCCCTGACAGTCCGGCTTTAGAGGTTTTTAATGGAAGGCCTTTGAAAACGTCATGGAACAATATTTGCAAGACCTAAATAGTACTTTTTGATCGATCATACCCGGATCGGTTTCGACAGTATTCAAAACGTAAAAAGAACGGCAATCACGATGAAAATTTCGGCGAGTATGAAGATTCCCGTGGCACTATTGTAAAACTATTCTCAACGTGTTCAGAAATTCATGGTGTTCCTAGTTTTGATGTTTTTATTTTTACCCAAAATCATAGCCAATTGGGTATGAAAGCAAAACGCAAAAGTTTATTTCCAATCGGGAATCGAACCCGCGCGTAAACAATCCAAAGGCACGCGCACTACCAATATGCCACGCCCGCCTGCCCATCCGGGTCCGAGGGAGGCTATATGGCCACTCCCTAAACAAGCCGAAATGGCCGACCAGACGGAACATAACTCCAAATTAGGTCATTATGAAATCAATTGTTCTCGAACGGATCGTAACGTATTAGGCAAATTTGGAAAACGCCAGCTTGTTCAGAATAAAATGTTACCTCATCGTTGCCCTAGTTTCCTAGTAGGTTAACTTCAAGTTTTTCAGTGTATCTGCAGCGTACCAGGCGGCACTAATAAGCTTTTCCAGCTAACGCCATGAAGCTGCACGCAAAGCGTCCTTTAATTGTTGTAAAGTAAGACACGGTTTTTCACTTAAAAAATGAGGTAAAATCATTTAAAAACGGGACAGCCCATTTCCAGATTCTCCCGGTCCACCCTCACACCCTAAGCCGGTCCTTATCTAAAGCCTCGCCATAGTTTGACAAATATCGAAAAATCGTCTCATCGGCTGACTGGACCATGCTGCATCGAATTATTCATACCTCCGTTTTTCAGGTTATTTTTGCGGAATTTAATTCTCGGAAAATCATAATCACTCACCCCTCTTTCGGTGCTTCTTCATTATGGAACTTTTTAATAGAAAAAAAATCAGAAAATTCGAGGTCTCTGTCCGAATCAATGCGATTTCCGGGTTGTGATTAAGCTTTGAGGGCGGACTGGCGCTCGGCCAGACGATTTTATGCCATTTCTTTGTGCAAATATGGGCTCGATGGGGAGACGCCGAATGTTGCCGGAAGAGACGGGTTGCAGTTCATTTTAAGAAAGCTAAATATTTGTGTCAAGTCTTCTGAGGGTTTACAAGTGTGAAAAATAAGCAAACTAGCTTGTAAAATTATTTAACCCGAAACTTTATTCGTCCAATCTAGCTCCAGGATAGCATTCTCCATATCTCTCGCCCCCTCTCTTTCTCTCTCTCCCTCGCTCTCTCTCTCTCTCCGTCTCTCTCTCTCTCTCTCTCTCTCTTTCGCGCTCTCCTTCTGGTAAATTCTTAAATTAATTTCGAGCGAAGCTTTGAAATGGGTTTGCCCTGCTGGTTTTGTCCCAATTTTTCTATCTTGACCCACTGCCAGGTATCGACCCCTTTTCGGTATCTGCTGCGCCCTGTTCGCGTACAGATTTTTGGTCGTTCGTGGTTGCTTTATCTCTTGTCGTAGCTCTTTTGCAAAACCCTTCCCTTTGACCCCGCTTTTGCACAAGCACCAAATATCAGAACTAGCATCTGGTATCTGGAACATATGAAAAATCAGCCTCAGCACCGCGTTGCTTGGTAAATGACGATATTTTCAAGGTTCCGGCTGGCAGAGAGAGAGAGAGAGAGAGGGATACGGTAACGCGCTCACCGTCGGCACCGGAATCATGTAATCAGACAATTATCAGGATTTCTGTTTTTTTTTGCATTATTTATTTTGATATCTAATTTTTCTGATACACATGGAGCAAGTATTTTTACTATTACTAAACGCAAAACCAAATTACAGTTTTTTCGACCAAAATTTTGGATTTTTTATGGTTTGTTTAATATTTTTAGATAGATTTGCAGTGTTCAAAATGGTCTAATTTCAGAGAAAAACAATATAAAAATACTTTACATTACTAAAAAAATACTATTTAATTACTAGGCTTTTCTAGAATTATAGGACTAATTCGCGGTTCTTTATAAAGGCCCCCCCGATAATGCGAAAGCTCCGGATTTACAAAATTCAATTTTCCGCTTATTTATTCAATTTAAATTTATTCCAAATTTTATTCAATGCATTCCGATATTCAGGTCGCTTATTGCATAGATCAGGCTCTTCTCTTCTGGTCCCCCGGAAACTTTGCCCCCATTCTAATTTCACACCCTAACCCCCATCAAAAGCCGAATCTCACTCCCCGGCTCTCAAACTGGCATAAAAACCCGGGGGTCCCGCAAAGAATCCACGTCTTTTACTCGCAGCCACAAAAACACAGCGATATGCGTGTGCTCGCGGAAATTACACGCTGAGGGCCCGCGGGGAAGGGCGGTGATAAGCACAAAAAAGGAAGAGGCTGATCCGCCATTCTTACAACCGGCCGTCAGCCCGTATGTGTGTAAGCTGATAAAAATAACAATGGGAGAACGGAGGAGAACAGCCGACGATTGTAAACAAAACCGGATCCGGGTCACGGAAAAGTGATCTGGATCAGGCTGATGACATCCAGAAGTTCTTTGAATTTCCGTGACCATGCTTTTACGTCAGAACTCACAAGTGGACGTTTTTGAGCGTGAGTTCGTGAGTTTTGACTTGGCACACATTTTGCATAGAATTTTGCTTGGATTCGAAATCTGGTTTCAGAAACTGCAAACAAGGAGCCGCTTTTGAGTGACATCCCCGTTCCGAGCACGACCAACCCTGACCTTGTGCAGAATTTTGCGCTCATCCTGAAACGGGCTTTCCAAATTTGTTTAATCGGCATTTTGAAGACAATACCGCTCAGTGTAGAGCGAAAATGCTCAAAATCGCAGATTTTAGACTCGTGCAAAAATTCGGGAGAAATATTTTGCCGAAACTAATTGCTCTTGCTGGAACCGAAGAGTGCATCTGGTGCAAAAAAATGCTCTTTCGAATGATTTAGTGTTTCAAACTAATAAAATCCATTTTCCTCACGATATGGTCCTGCGCAGCACCCTGATGCAAGTTTTATAAAGTTTTGAAGATTTACGTATCTTAAAGATGGAAAAAGTAGTGTAAAAACAAAAAGGGAAGGCGTACGTGACGCGGTACGCAGCGCACGAGGTGCCCACGTGGCCTGAGATTCGGGACGTACTCACTAGCTGTTTAGACGAAGACGTAAGGCGACGCCGCTGCTAGGATTGTGACGTCCGCGCGCCCGTGACCAGAGCGTGACGCCACCAGACGATTATTATGTCCGTTTTGATGCACTTCAAGCCATGCCTGAAATGTACAAGTTGAGGCAGCAGTCGGAAAATAGAATAAAAATAGATGACGTCACAAACGTGATGACGTCTTCAAGGCGTATTTAAAGAAGCTGTGTTACTGGCTTAATGACGCGCCTTTGAGACACAGCTGGCGATGAAGATTAATTAGCGAACTTGACGAACAGCTGAAAAATTCTCGAACTCGTTGAAGATGACGGAGCTGACGCAATCCGCGTCAGAAGCGATAACGTGAAAAATAGCTTTTGTTTTAGGTTGTTTTAGGTTGCGCCGCCGTAGGTGAGGTTTTGATTCGCCATAAGTAGCGGCTACAGTCTAATCCAAAGCTGAAAATCTAAGTTGAGCCCGACTTAAGCCGAAGCCTGAGCCGACGCTTATTTTGATGCCTAAGCCGATGGTAAGCCTAATAAGCTTAGGCCCAAGCCTGCTCAACGATACTTCGGGCAACGCAGCTTCAAACGCCCTTAATCTGCAGCCTCTCCCCTTCACGCGAACTTTCCGGAATCACGCCGTGTTTGTGTTGGCTTCTGTGATTCTGGGGAGGGCGATGTGGCAGCAGGCGATCTTTGCCTACAACCGAAGGGGGTGGGTGTCCCACGTGGAGCCCCCCGGTTGCTCGTGGCCGTAAAGCCATCCCAGATAACTCGAATGTTTCCCCCTGAGCGGGTGAAGAGATAAGGATGCCGGAATGTTGAACATCCCAGGTGGAATCCCCGGCAGCATCTCTGTTTTCCCGGGAATCTCACAGGACTTTAACCCCAAAAATGGATAGGAGAAAAAGAACTGTTTGAAAAGAAGTTTTGAGGAGGAACCAGCTGCTAGTGGGCTGGATTACGGCATCAGATTTTGATGGATATGAAGGAGGTGCAGTCCGGAGTGTCAGATGAAGATAGCGTAGTAGGTGTTTGAACGTGCAGCGGTTGGGTTGCGTTTCTATGATCTCTAGCTCTCGCTTTATCTCTCTCACCCTCGCTCTCTCTCACTCTGACTTACTCTCTTCTCTCTCACCCACTCTCTTTCTCTCTCAATCTCACTCACTCTCAATCACTCTCTTGCTCTCTCTCGCTCTCACTCTCTTCCTCTCTCGCTGACGCTGTCGCTCTGGCGCTCTCGTCACAAGAGAAATTGTTTGCTCCACACGCGGACGTTGATGATCATCCACAGCCGCGCCGTCGGGCTGGAGCCGTACACGCGGGTTAAAGGGACAAGCAAGGCACGGGTATGAATTTTTCGGGCGGCAAATACGCGACGCATGGCCCGATTGCCCGACGCATCTCTCTCTCTCTCCCTCTCTCTCTCTCTCTGTCTATCTATCGCTCTCGCTCTCTAACCCAAACATCCACTACTCCAGTCACCAAATCTTTGGCCCGACCAATGGTCCGATGACACCCCACTATAACGACTCCCGGATTCCCCTCCCCAATGGCCCATTAATCGAGACGCCGTTAAAATTTTACGCAGCAGCATCAGAATCAGGAGCACCGCAACCGAGCAAAGGGGGCGGGATCACATGACCGAGCGTGCTAGCTCGGCCCGGCTCCCCTGGCTCGCTTACGCACCGTATCCTCAACTCCCCCCAAGAAAAAGAGAGGCGTACTACTGATAAGCCGCGCGCATAAATAGGGCCCGTGGCTGGGGCTCAGGTACTCCAGTCGTCGTCACAGCTGAAGCCACACCGCCATGACCGTACGCCACCACCGGCACCACCACCATGGCCATCATCTGACCGTCAAGCAGATCAGTCAGTTTTTGAATGGGGGGGGCAATGCTATACATATTCTGATTTTTGGTGATTTACTAAGAGTTACAGTAAGCTACGCAATGCATAAACCTGAGCATGACCGAAGCTAAGCTAAGCCGACCGGGGAGCCGGTTTTCGTCACTGCAGCATTTTGCGTTAATCCCGAATTTAGCCTCAAAACCTCGATATGACCAGATTAAAAAAGTTAAACAGCTTCTAAGCGCGAAAAAGGCCAAAAAATGGCCCAATTTCGACAAATTTTTTCGCTTTTCGCGCTGAGCGGCTCCCTGACTTTTTGAATCTATCCGTGTCGCCGGGGGTTTTAACAGTTTCCCAAGTTTCCGAATCAGCGCAAAATTCTGCACAAAGTAGCCTCGGTCAGGCGTCGAAAATCGATTATCACTAAAAAAGCCCACTAATAAGCTGAAGCCTAAGTGAAACAAAGCTAAGCTAAGCCCAAGCTAGCAAGACAAAACTAAACCCGAATTCTTCCTCTAAAATAGGCCAGCCTTCCTGAATTTTTTCTTGAATTTGCTTATTTTTGAAACGTAAAAAAAATTAAGAACAATTAAAGGCATTTTAACGCGGTTGTTAAGGTATTCCATTCCATGGAAATAAAAACTAGTGCGTAGGAAAGCTAGGAAAACTAGAAGCAACAGTTCCAAAAAATCACAGTGATGCCTTGCCGGTTCCGTTAAAAGCTTTGAAATACATTTCGGTCGCTTTTGGATGTTTGATACTTTTCGATAGGTCAGAATCTTACAAAACTACTGTCCTAAGCTTCCCATTTTCAGAGAAAGTCTTCGCTAACCACGACAGCAACAGCAGCGGCCGTATCTCCAAGGATGAGGCCAAGGTACGAATTTTCAGCTTCGAAATCTTCAAAAAAGTTTTGAAAAGCTATAAAAATTAAAAGACAAATTATATAATTATATTTGTCTATTTCCAGGCTGCCCTGAAAGAGGTCGGACCCCACCACCATCGCCACCACAAAAAGGACTTTGAGCACGAGTTCGACAAGCTGGCCAAGCGCCACTCCAAGCATGACCATCATCATATCACCTTCTCGGGTAAGTCAAGTACGCTTAGGCTTAGCTTAGGCTTGCTTAGGCTTAGCTTAGGCTTGGCTTAGGCTTAGCTTAGGCTTGGCTTAGGCTTAGCTAAGGCTTAGCTTAGGCTTAGCTTAGGCTTAGCTTAGGCTAGCTTAGGCTTAGCTTAGGCTTAGTTAGGGCTTAGCTTAGGCTTAGCTTTAGCTTAGCTTAGGCTTAGCTTAGGCTTAGCTTAGGCTTAGCTTAGCCTTAGTTTAAGCTTAACTTAAGTTTATCTTAGACTTAGACTTAAGATTGGCTTAGCATAAGCCGCTTTGGAAATTCCCAGAATCTTTAAGCTAAACTAGGAGTTGATCATTCCCTTGAAGCAGCTCAACCCCACTCTTTTCAGACTTCCTCCACTTTGTCCACCCAGCCGAGGGACTCCACGGCCACCATGGTCATCACCACAAAGCCGCCAACTCTGGGTAAGTCCCTAGTCAACCAAAAAACTTCTAATTTTTTAGCTCGAGCTCGTCCTCCTCATCGTCCTCGTCGTCTTCCTCCTCCTCTTCCAGCTCCTCATCCTCGAGCAGCTCTGAGTCGGAGCCAGAGCACAAGCACAAGAAGCATCACAAGAAGCACGTCAAGGCCGTAGCGTCCAGCAGCTCTTCCTCGTCGTCCTCGTCGAGCTCTTCCTCCTCCAGCTCCTCCAGCCGGAGTCGGAGGTCGAGGAGAAGCCGCGCAAGAAGCCGTCAAGAAGCGCCGTGACCGCAAGGCCGCCAGCTCCTCCTCCTCTTCCTCGTCTTCTCTTCTTCCTCCTCCAGCTCCTCCTCGTCGAGCAGCTCGGAATCCGAAGAAGAGAAGCACCACAAGAAACACCATAAGAAGCACGTCAAGGCCGCCGAGTCCAGCTCGTCCTCCTCGTCCAGCTCCTCGTCTTCTAGCTCGTCCTCCCTCCAGCTCGGAATCGGAGGTAGAACACAAGCACAAGAAGAAGCACCACAAAAACACGCCAAGGCCGCCAAGGAGTCGAGCTCGTCTTCATCATCCTCGTCATCCTCCTCCAGCTCCTCATCCTCGAGCAGCTCGGAGTCGGAGCCGGAGCACAAGCATAAGAAGCATCACAAGAAGCACGTCAAGGCCGCCGCCTCCAGCTCGTCCTCCTCGTCGTCGTCGAGCTCTTCCTCCCTCCAGCTCGGAATCAGAGGATGACCACAAGCACAAGAAACACCACAAGAAGCACGCTAAGGCCGCCAGTGACTCGAGCTCGTCCTCGTCCTCCTCGTCGAGCTCTTCGTCTTCGTCGTCGCCCTCTTCGTCGAGCTCGGATTCGGAGCCGGAGCACAAGCACAAGAAGCATCACAAGAAGCACGTCAAGGCCGCCAAGTCTGATTCGAGCTCCTCTTCTTCCTCGTCCAGCTCCTCGTCTTCTAGCTCCTCGTCCTCCAGCTCCGAGTCGGAGGTTGAGCACCACCACAAGAAGAAGCATCACAAGAAGCATGTGAAGGCCCATCATGGGCATCACCATCACCCACACCATGGACATCACGGACACGGATATGGACACCATCACGGACATCATCATCCTCACCACGGACATCATGGTCATGGATATGGACATCACCACGATGGTCACCACCATCATCCTCACCATGGACATCATGGACACCATGAGCTGCACCATGGACATCATCATCACCCACATCACCATCATGGACACCACGATCATGGGTATGGACATCATCACGATCATCACCATCATGCCCTGCATCACCACCATGATCATGATCATGGCTATGGACATCACCACGGACATCATCATCCTCATCATGGTCATCACGGACACCATGAGCTCCACCATGGACACCACCACGGTCATCACGATCATGGCTACGGACATCACCACGACATCATGATGGTCACCACCACGGACACCATGGACATCACGATCTTCACCATGGACACCATCAACATGATCACGGATATGGTCATCACCACGGCCACCATCATCCCCATCATGGTCACCATGGCCACCATGACCTTCATCATGGCCATCATGACCATCACGACCACGGATATGGACATCACCACGGACACCATGATGGTCACCACCACGGACATCATGGCCACCACGAGCTCCACCATGGACATCACCATGGCCATCACCATCCTCACCATCATGAGCACCATGGTCATCATGAGCATGGCTATGGACATCATCACTGGACATCACCATCATCCTCACCATGGTCACCACGGACACCATGAGCTCCACCATGGCCACCATGGTCACCACGGACATCATGATCTGCATCATGGACATCACCATGGTCATCACCATCCTCACCACCATGAGCATCATGGACACCACGACCACGGATATGGCCATCATCACGGACATGGTCACCACGGTCATCATGAGCTGCACCATGGCCACCACCACGGCCATCACGATGGTCATCACCATGGACACCATGGCCATCACGGTCACCATGATCTCCATCATGGCCACCATGGTCACCACGATGGTCATCACCACGGCCATCATCACGGACATCACGATCATGGCTACGGACACCACCACGGACACCACGACCACGGATATCATGGGCATCATCACCATGATGGTCACCACCACGGACACCACGACCACGGCTACGGACACCACCACGGACATCACCATCACCCCCACCACCACAGCCACCACCACTCCCACGGCCATCATTAAGGATCCGCTGTACAAACCTGTATACCACCACCTCTCACCTTTTCAGGGCCTGCAGCTGTGCTTTTAGGTCGACCGATTCTATGCAGTGATAGTGTGAATAAAGTTTTATATCCCTCTGAATCGTATAAAAATACAATATACAAAGCACCGGTACTCCGTGGCATCATGGCATCGGAAATGGGGGCGGGGCACAAAATAGGGGGAATCTTGGTCCAGCGTAGAATCTCGGAGGAGGGAGGAGAAGTGTCGTGAGCAAGAATTGAGATTCGAGAAGCATTATAGAGCGAAGCGACGGAGTGTGAAATGGATTGGGAGTAGGTAGATGCTCATCGTCTTTAGCGAGCTCGAGCCGATGAAGGGGGAGTTCATGGCGCCGAGGCGAAGTGAGCGGGCTTCGCTTCTTGGGCCGAGACCGCCAGAGTTGTAGCCGGCGACCTGGGATGGAAAGTTTGTATTTTCCGGCTCTCCTCTCTCTTTCTCTCTCCCCCTCTCTCTCTCTCTCTCTCTCTCTCTCTCTCTTTCTTCTCTCTGGCCTTCTCGCCTGCTCATTGCTCTCCCTATTTATCTCAAACTCTCGCTCTTCTAGCATTCTGCACTCTGGCACTCTATTGCACGCGCTGTCTCTTCCCCCTCTTCTCTGTCTCTCTCGTCGCTCTCTCTATCTCTCTCCTCACCTGCACAGTGTATTTATACATCAACCGCAACCCATCCAGCCGTGCTGAAGGTTGTTGCTGATCAACCAGTGCCCTCAAGGGCATATCGAGCACCACTGCATCGGACGCTGTCCCCGGGATGTAAACAAAATCTAGAACCAGATCCCAACCCTTTTCTGGACACATCACCCACTTTATATCCTAAGTCGTTGATCTCGCTGGCATTCCCGAGCTCGACGGCGCTCCACTCGATGATTGTCGTGAAATGACCGTCCAAGTATGGCGGCGAGGCCAAGGCGTCCACCCCCAGGCGCCGCAGGGGTGGAGGCTTTGTTGTTGTGATGGGGGGGTCCGGTGCGAGAGCCTTGGCGTCCGCTTGGATCCACTGGGATCAGGGGCACATCTGTATATCACAACGGATGTAAGCCTCCAACTACCCAGCGTTCCAACGATTTCGAGACTTTGGTCAGGGGACCGACATGGTGTTCTGCGGAGAAGCACTGGATCTGAAAGCGATTTCGTAGGTAAAGTACTGAGTGTGATGTCTGGATTGAGCGTGCCGCAAGCCTACGCCCAAGCTCTGGGCCGGTAGCGCCTACGCCTAAGTTTCCGAAGCCCAAGCCCGGCTTCCAAGCCCAAGCCCAAGCCTTGCTACTGGTCTACCCACCTGAACCCGCGAATGCTACATCACAGTCCGACGCGCCGTGCCACGTCCACGACACGTTTGCGTGGGTAGCATTTATTTCACTGATGCTGGAGATGTTCACGTGCCGCATCGATCCTCGCGAGTTTCACGAAGGCCACCGCGTCCGTGGAGATGTCCGCCGGGCCCGCGTCGCTCACCGCGCGGACTTCGAGCACGACGGCCCGGCAGCCGGTTAGGAGTTGAGCCTGACCAGGACCGCCGGATGGTCCGACTCAAGCTCGTACTTCTTCGACCCGTCATCTTCGTCTTTGGGGGCTCTCCGCGCGTTCTTGCGGACCATGTGACGACGTAGCGGAGGTAAGTTCACCAGAGTGGGATGGTCCTGGAAGGATTTATTAAGAATCAAAGGCCTAAATTACCTTTTCGATTACGTCCCGCCTGACAAAGAGGGTGCTCTGGTCGAGGGTTCAAGACAAGCTTCTGCGGTGCTTCCAGGGGGTGGTTGTGCCGGGGTGTGGACCCAATTCGATGGGGCTGACGCGTCACCGGCTTGTCCGCTGGCCACGGATCGGACTTCCGGAACTGAAAGCAGCTATTTTAAAGGGTTCGGGAAGCCCAAAATAACTATTCACCGTTGCCTGTTATCGACAGCTACGCAGTGCGCTCCACATTACTTATGCAAAAGCTGGATGGAGCGTCAGAGTAAGCGTGAGAAAGAAGGCGAAAGCGTCTCGGAGAGAGAGAGCGAGAGAGAGAGAGCGAGAGAGAGATAGAGAGAGAGATATATCGGAAATCGGTGTTCATTTTCATACCTGATAACCCTCATTCGGCTTCAACCCATCAATCGTCGTCCGATCCGTGGCCTTGTCGACGGGGCTGATCATCGACCGGCTGACGGGCTTCCACCTTCGATCCGTCTTCGACCGCACTTCCACCAAAAACGCCTCATCCGGTTGCTAAAACCTTGCTAAAACTCGGGTCCACTCAATTCCCTACCGAGTTATGCCTCGTCTCCCGATGATGCGGTGGCAACACCCAGTAGAGGTCGACGCCAAACCGGGAGATGTTCACGGCGTTTACCTGTAGTATTAATTAGTCGCAATTTTATAAGGTGTTTACTA